CTTGTCCTCCTCACCCTCACTATCCTCATTCTCCTCGTCATCACTGTCCTCATCCTCCTTATCACTATCCTCATCATCACTATCCTCATCCTCCTCATCACTATCCTCATCCTCATTAATATCCTCATCCTCCTCATCCTCACTATCTTGTCCTCCTCATCCTCACTATCCTCATTCTCCTCGTCATCACTGTCCTCATCCTCCTTATCACTATCCTCATCATCACTATCCTCCTCCTCCTCCTCATCAATATCCTCCTCCTCATCATCACTATCCTATTCCTCATCATTATCCTCATCCACATCCTCACTGTCCTTATCCTCCTCATCATCACTATCCTCCTCCTCATCCTCACTATCCTCATCCTCCTCATCATCACTATCCTCATCCTCATCTTCAGTATCCATCCATTCTCCTCTCCAGTCAGACAGAGAAACAGACTCCTCTGAACAGAAATGTGTTTTTCAGGAAGGTGGAGGTGAGGCCGGCTGTTCCTGCAGACCGACTTGCTGTTTCTGATCTGGTGAAGAATCTGGACCGGAACCAGTCACTTTTGCAGGACTTGGACTCCTTCTATAGGACCCGCAGTGACCCGGTCAGTCCACTCTGATACCGACATGTCTCTGTTTCACTCCCACTTTATATTCAAAGCTCTGAATCAAGTTTCTGGATAAGGTCAAAGGTCAGGAAGGACTTCCTGTTTGCCTGCAGACGAGTTCTGATCAGTTTACTGAAGTGAGAAACACATGGAGCAGTTTTTCTGCATCATTTGGGATTAGATTTTTCTTATTTAAGGTGGTCCTGGTAATATTAGCAATGATGGAAAAGAGTAAATACTGTATGTTTTCAGTTCCTAATGAAACATTGAACACGTTTTTATTATCTGAGCAGAAAGAAATAAGAGTTTAGATGACATGAGTCTTCATGCCATCTGCTGTTTGGATGGAGGTATAAATGTCATGATGATGTTTTGGAGCCAGGACTGAAGGGGATGAATGTCAGGGAACAGATTTTTCTGTGTGGCAGCCAGCTGTCCCTGCTGCAGCTCCAAATATCATCATTACTCCTGGAATCAGACGCAGCTCCTTCACAGGGGCTCAGCTGATGAGGCTGATGGAACATGTTGTGTTGTTTGTCAGAACTCTGTGCCGCTGCAGGCCTTCGTCACTCAGGTGGACGGTCAGGTTGTTGGGATCCTCATCATCAGAGACGAGCAGGTAAGTGTTACATTTTAATAACACTAAACCCATTAAAGGTCTGTCTAAAGTTCCTGCTCAGCTCTCAGGTGTAAAATTGTCCACCAGGTTTTATATGAAATCATTTCTGTAAAGCTTTTAAAAACACCTTCTCACAGATTCAAAGTACACTGTAAAATAACTTGTAAGATTTACTTGAGAAAATCCTGTAAACGATTTGCACAAACGTTTGGTAAGTAAATTTAAATGCTACAAATTCATGAAATATTTACTCTCATCATTATCTAGTAAAAGTTATTAAGAATATAGTTAAAGATTTATGAATAAATCAGGTAAATTTAACTTAATTTGATCTATTAAATCTTGTAACATATACTTGATCAAATTAAGTAAAATTTACCTGATTTATTCACAAATCTTTAACTACGTTCTTAATACATTTTACTAGATAATGAAGAGTAAATATTACATGAATTTTTAGCATTTAAATTTACTTAAAACATTAGTGCAAATCGTTTACAGGATTTTCTCAAGTAATCTAACAAGTTCTTTATAACAGTGCACATGTGTCAAGCACAATATTGTAGCATGACACCTCACAGCTACAG